GGGGGGGGGGGGGGGGGTGAGCAAACTTAATGAATAAGTCATGGATCATCTGCATCATATTCTTGAGTTTTACTTTCCAGAATTTCCAAAAAAAAACCATGTTCTCAATTGCCTCAACCGATTTCTCCAAATTTTCACATAAATGATTTTTTTGTTAACGATGAGTGTTGAGCAAACTCTTCCTCCTCATTTTTGAGTTTGCTCACATTTCAATCCCCAGAAAAACACAATTAATTCTCATTTATGGTGGGCTGTGTCAGCTTGATAAAAACTTGACACAGCCATAAAAAACAAAAAAAAATGCAATGAGATAAATTAAAAATTATTATAACAAATTCGTGAAAAACTTCCTCTTTTCATTGCAATTGACGAAATTCGATTGTGATGCTTGGGCTGTGCCAACTGTTGATACCTCATATTGTAGAATTCAAATGTCCCTGTATGTTCCTAATGTCCCTATATCATACAATCGGTAAAATTCAGGAGGCTCAAATTTAATCCGCCCAACAAGAAGCAATGGATATCGATTGAAATACCATTTCTATAAGAATATTAAGAGTTTTCCATTGATTCATAAATCTTAGCATGTCTATATGTGAATGTCTACAAAGAGAAAGAGAATTCCTCGCATTTTTCGAATCGATTAATCATTGTGGATGGAACCACTTGTAAGTTCCGTCCTTGAAGATTCTTCTCCTAATGAAAGTGAGTCAATGTTCATTGCATAATCTATATCAATTAACAAGCGAAAATTGTTCATTATGTAGGAAAAATCTCAACAGTGTATCCTATTTAGCCGAAACTGCGTTTAACCCTATCTGATGCTGAAATTCCGATCAGGATAGGACTTTTACATATTTGAAAATAAGATATCTATTGCTCTTCAAATTTTCTTGAAGCCGTACTCTAATGTTATTGAAGAAATTGGAAAACGTGCGGTACGCCACTTCTGAGGCGACCAAGAATGTTAATGAAATTTTGTCGATGTATTCTCAATGTACCAATTTAAACGTTAATTTTTTCGGAGTTTCAGGTGTCAGTTTGCATTATTATCCGAAAATATGGAGAAATCAGAGATAATGTTTCATCATTTACTGGCGCACTTGCCAGGAAATGCTATTGAAATCCGGCCGATATTTCACGGAAAATGAACCTCATCTTTTATCGATTTCCTGCCTAGTTCTGTTCTTTGGAATGAAGCAATGCATGATCATATACTCCATAGCAATAATACCCAATAAGACACGGAGTCCTCAAAAAATACAATATAAATTATTGTATATAAATATACAATATAATACAATGTAGTATGTTACTTTGAGGATATTGTCCCCGTTTATTACAGTAAAACACTGAGTCCCCAAAATCAACATTACATCGACGATGTATATTTTGAGGACTGTGCTCGGAATCACCAATATGTATAAAAAATTATGAGGACGGTCCCCGAAACAGCCACATGTCCCCATATAATACTATACACATTCGAAATTATCCCCAAACTAACCCTTCAATACATATATATATGCAAATCAGAACTAAAAAGGAGATTATTTTCACACAAGTTTTCGGAAATTTTGAAATTTTGTTAGATACGTGACTACGAGTCTCTGTTACTAAGTTGCCAATATATATACACGCACACATACGGATAGGGTCCAAAAATTGTATTTTCGTACTTTTCAGATCACAATGGCTTGATATAACACAAAAAACCAAAACTTAAATTTGAAGGATTAGAAAGTTTACATTCGGAAGCCAAATGCCAGACACATGAATTGATTGATAAATATCGACTAGACTTGTTCTCTAAACCTCTGTATGGGATGTGAAAAGAAATAAGTTGGCAATAATTTTATAAATAAATCTCAACTTCATAGAATGAAAGGAATTCATCAATAGATCCTTATTTTCGTCTATATAATCATCTACAGAGATGATTGATCTTCACTCTTGGATTACTCTTACTCTTGGATTAGGAAATATGAAATGAGTACTTACATCGCGATATTTTTCCATGCCATTAAGAACCTTTTTGGCGATAAATTTCTTGAGGTGAGTGATGGTTGCTTGGGCTGAGCACCTGATAAATCGGCGTTTCAACGTTTTCAGACTTGCATTTATACATTCGAGGCAAACATTGACCTGTAAAATTACAATCATTTAGATTAGTATTGCAGTGAAAAGGAAGAACATTGAATCTAAGACTACTGAATTTCCCGGATGAATGGAAACATCTGTTTCATTATAGAATGATTTCACAATCTAATACCTGTAGAAGAAATTGCCAAAGATCTTTTTTGCTGAAAATGTCCTTAGCTTCGATGAAAGTCTTGACATTTTTCCCCCATATCATTCGTCTCTAAGGTAAATGTAATCTGAATAATGGACTTGCTAGTGAATTTTACCTGTTCATCAGCTCTATGATAATCCGCTTCCGCATGGGCATCAGCAGAGGATTTCTCATCCTCAACTTCACCAGCATTTGGTAGTACATCTTTAGGACAAGCAAGACCTCTGGCCCTGTAAAATTCTCGTTCCCTCTTGATTTCATCTGCAGATAAATCAATAAAGAAATAAGAAATTCCCTCAGAATAAAATGAAAATTCATCAATAATCAGAATTATCACCATATTGTGCAATATTTGTGTTCTTGTTTAAGACGATTTTCTTTTAAATTAACGATAAAGGTAGTTTTTCTTGGAAATCGATTCTTCATGAAATAAGAACATGAATAAATTCATTACGACTCCGAACTAATATTTTAGGAGTGAAATAATTGCTCAACAATAGGTCATATGAAGTCTCGTTCTCAAAAAAATATCGTTATCCCATAATTATCGAAATTTTTACCTATTTCCACAGGATTAAACTGTTATTTAATTAATGACTGAAGCCATCGAATGAATTCAAAAGGTCTTGCTATAGATCCAAATAACAGAATAGTTTCAATTCTCCAGTGTCACTAAATTGAACATTGGACACACTAAATTGGACATTAAATTAATAAAAGGTTTGAAATTCAACAATTGAAAATAATAAAATAAAGTCAAATGGTATCTTCTGATTCGAATAGTAAAATCATTTCGAAATATCTAGTAAGGATTTGATAAATACATAAAACTTCTATTAATTCAACAACAGGTGCCAATGCTATTTCCTCTCATGGAAAATTAAGACTATCAACCTCCAACAATAACTTTTAATACTCTGAACCTACTCATTACGCCGCTTTACCCTTCATATACAGGGCCGATACATGGTATCGACCCATGGAAATGTGAATTATTTAAAAAATTAATCAATTCCAAAACTGTAGAACTCAGCCACAAGTGTATTCCTCGAGTACAATCGAAAATAGGAATACGGTTCAATCACATATTGGTTTCATAGATAGATTTCCATTGATTAGAAGTGGTAGAATCCTAGTCGCATTAAATTTACACTACGCTTGGTAACAAAAGGGTCCTGTCCGTGCGAAGTTAATACGGTACCATGGCACCACATTCCTCATCATTCAAAATTCATCTTTATTTTTTCTACCTCCAGTGTACAAATTTGAAACTCTAAATTCACTTTATTCAGGATGTCTACCTGAGAGTTTCAACAAAATGCCCTGACTTTTCCCGGTCAAATTAATGAAATTCCCTGACCATAGAAAACGTTTTTTTTTTAATGAAAGAATGTTAAATTTACAGACTCTAAAGTAAAAACCGTAGTAGCACACTTTAGTAGGGACATCGGCATTCCGTTTTGAAGGCCATAGAGTGGGGATATCGAAATTCACCTTAGAGGGTTAAAACAGTTGATAAACGAGGATCACCTGATGTTGATAATCAATGAGCAATAGATGGATCCATGCACATTAATTCCTTTACCGAACAAAATTGAAAGGCAGACATCGGTAAATTACAATTATCTTTGACTGGCCAAAAGACCCATCAAGTAAATTTTCGTCGTCATTGCCCATTTTCACCTTCAAAATTTTCCTTGGATCATAATTTTCATCCAATTCAATTTTTTTTTCAGTATTCGTTAAACATTAAAGAATAAAATTGAGTATTCCTTTTCCATTGCATAGAGTAGATTGAGAAAAAATGAATCTTTTAGATTTAGTCTGTCTGCTCCACTCGATTCTTTAGACATTATACAAGAAGAAATAAAAAAGAGTGCATCGAAAGAAACATTTTATTCATGCGCTATTATCCATAATTTATGGCGTAAAATGGGTATTTAATTTCATTTTCTAGAGTCTAACGAAAATTGCGAAATACAAAAATCACATCAGATGGAAATTGCGCAATAAAGGATGTAACAAAAAAAAAAAAAAAATTCTAAGAGAATTAGAATTTAGAGAGAAAAAATTTCCGCTTCACCCAGCCGGGAATCGAACCCGGGTCTCCCAGATACGCGCCGGGCACTCTTACCGACTAAGCTACCGGGAACCACAGAAATTCACTCTCAAATTCATCTCATACACTAAGGAAATTTTCAAAGACTTCCATTTTAGCGAGGTCTCCCCTTAAGAGGTGATCACTCTGTCAATCTTTCAACAAAAATACGTACAGCGAAAAATTTATCTAGAAAATTAGGATGCTAATATCTCTCTAGCGGACCAGGTTGGAACTGTGTTTTTGCAGTTTGTATATTACTGGAAATGAGTATTTTTCAGATATTTCCACCATCTGAATATGTGAGAATTCCTTTGAAAAGTAGCTGAATTTAGAATTTTCCATGGAAAAACCGCAAAAACAGTGGGTTCTTAGTCTAATCCCACGGGAAGATGTTTACATCCCACTTTTCTAAGTAAGTTTGAGATCGAATTGCAGGAGAATGTTTTTTGTCAACAGAAGAATTTCCAAAAATTTAGGTATTTGGAGAAAACAAGCTTCAAATTTTAAAATTCCAGAAAGTTGTCGTAATTCCCTCACTTTTCCGCGACATTTCCAGACCAATCAAATTCCCTGACAATTCCCGGTTTTCCAGATTTCCCTGACGGCTGGACACCCTGTCTATTTCTATCATTCCCCAATATTATGTACATAAAATGTAGATAATTGGACGAGGCCCCGCGGACGTTTGTTTGAAGTTGGTATCTTGTTAAGAATAAAAAAAAAGTATATAAAAATACATGGTCGAAAAGATAAAAGAATATCAAAATATATATATAAATTACTTGGATTACTTGAAATTGATATATGAAAGTGGAATTTATTAATGTTCTTACTCTCTTGTAAGTCAGGAACGAGTTTGTAAACAATATCCTGCATTGTTCTGTCGAAGCTTATATACTGAAGGGGATGTGACTGATGAATAACAATTTGGCATGTTGGACACGTGCTCTTCTCCTCCAGATGCTTGACAAGACAACTCTTGCAGAATGTGTGGAGGCACTCTGTAACTGTGGTTGCATCTATTAAATAGCCCCGGCATATTTTGCAAGTTATGTGGCTATTCAATGTCTTTAGTTTGATTCGTCTCTCCATGGCACCTGTCAGCACCATCTAATTGCTTCACTAATAGATCTGTAACGAGGACGAGTACGTTAAAACATCTGTTGAGATCCACTCACGAATTCTCGGAAAAATCAAAACGAATCACTTTGATAATTCAATTAATGAAATTGGGACAATCATTTGTAGTAGATATGAGAGATCACTAGAGATATGGTCAGCGAGGGGATAATTCAATTGGACTACAATTTTTTTTACTTGTTGGGAGGTTATTGTTTCTAACCTAAATTTTATCAGCCACGACAGCTCTAGTTGTCAATGAACCCAATAATATCGGCTCAATAAACAGAGAAGTTTCGTTGAGTACGACATTTTTCACATCCCCTGAAGTCGACACAATTTTAAAAAATTGGAAATTATAATGAATTTTGGGGAACAAATGGTGCCAAAAACAAATGTATTTGTGTGGCTGATGACAACAAAATGACTGATTCAGGCGACGTCTCGTGATGAAACGCAGAAACACTAACATCAAAAGCCCTAAAAGAGGATAGACTCTGGGATAGACCTGGGCAAAGAGGATGGACCTGAGTAGCGGCCCGGATCGGGGGGTTTGACTGGTTTGAGGTCACCATGCCCGATTGTGGGATATCGAAAATACCAACCGC